TATAGAAATTAAAAAGTTCCCGTGATTTATGACGTCAAGGGAGCCGCGGATGCAAAATTCCGGAGGAAGCGCTTGGGAACTTTGGCAAAGGTAGGAAAGTTCCCGTAAACTACACTAAATGAAAAGTTCCCGCGAACAATGTCGTGCTGGCCGTCTGATCGGCGCGGGACCACGTTTCGAGGGCGCGCGCTCGAGGAAACGGATGTCGAAACACACAACGCCGCACTTTAGGATTTCGTTCGGAAGTAAGTTCTTGTCTCTTTCATCAGTTGCTTGTAATCAAGTTTTTTTTTCAGCGAACAGCAAGTCGAGAAAAGCAACGCACGACTGTTTGCACGCGCAAAGGGTTCTATTTGGGAAGAAGCTTTTCGCAGGATAGAACTCAAAGAAAAGAAGGTAAGGACTTAATTATTTTGCCTTCTCAGATATCGTACCTTCACATCCCTTCTTTTCATGCTTTCTCAAAGTTATGGGACGCTTTTTTGGCTGTTTCATCATCTTCTTCTCCTTTCTTCCTTTTCTCCTTCTTCGTAATGCTAGTGTATTTCCTTACTTGTCCGTACTCTTATTTATTTCTGTAAGCTCGTCTTCACTCTCAATCTGACAAGCGTCCCCAATCTTGGCATTAGAAATTTATTTCCTTAGAAACATTTAAAAAATCACTCAGTTTTATCAGAAAAAATCATCTGTCGTATTTGTCCGGTTTATGTTATATTGTTAAGACATTTGGACTACTTCCTCAAATTTCTTCCTAGTAATGTCCACTTGATTTTGTGGCTTCTGCATTTCTTCAATAGTTAAGAGACTCAGAGGGAAGTTGATCGGGTGAGATAGATCGGACGGTTGAAAATGTGGTCATTTCTGATAAAACTGACATCATATTAGGGTCATCGGTAAAAAATGGGGCACCTAGAGAAAATGTAGATTTCTCAAAAAAGAAAAGTGATTAAACTTAACAATTTTGAGAATTGTTAGAATAAATTATTCTCTTTCACAAAATACCTATATAAGGTCATTTACTTACCTGATAATTTTTATAGTGGCTGAAATGCAAAGTTAGTCACTTTGACAAATTATAAACTTCGGGCAGTATCTGCGCAGTGAAACATGCGAAACCGTCCAAAGTACTACTGCTGCAGTGCTTGAAGGTACAGTCACCAGACCCAAGATGGATTGCTAGCCTCAACATTCAAATTCAGGAGATATGGTCATTAGTAGCTTTGAGAACAAAGATATGTGCTATTTAATTCTTTGCAGGTGAACGCACGTTTTCTAGATATCATCTGATAGAGCTTTTTACGTTCTATCCATCCATATGCAGTTTACCTCACATTTTATCTATCTTCGGAAAATACAGATTGAAACTTGATTTATTGGTTTTTGTTGCGCCGAAACGCGATTTTTCAGGTATTTCGCTTTTTTTACCCAGAAGTAGAAAGAAATCCTGTATGTTCAATATGTTATTTGAAAGAGCATTAAGAGCTCTTTCGAATGGTATATCAACTGCTCTATAACTTTACGGTATGGCAGCGTAAGAAGCGATGTTTAAAAAACCCTGTTCGCGTTCTTCAGGGCGCCACGCCTAGGGTTGTGGGAGAGGAGCGTTGACGCTTTGCCAGAATAATAGGCGAAGGTCGCTTATATAGGCGACGTTTACGTTGCAGCCTGCTTGTTGTTGATTGAAACAAAAAATCTCAAAATTGAATAAAAATCAAACTGCCCCATTTTTTACCGATTATCCTAATAATTAAGGGACCCACCATACTTGATCCTCTTGATCCTCTTAATCCACTTGATCCGTTTGATCTACTTCGTGCAAAATGCGCGTCACTAGTTTGCCATGTCAACGTCATTTTGTCATTTGGCGTCGCGCACAGCGAGTTTGCATAACCATACAAAGTTCCTTTTCACCTACGCGGCGTCAGTTGAAAACACTGTATCATAGAACCCAACAGATCATCACTGGTACACTAGTCAAAACAGGCGTATAGGGATTGTGTAGCTGCTGTAACTGCCACAAACTTCGCTAAAAATGTTTTACTGAGTATGTTTCTCAACAACCATGTAAATCGAATGATCCACACTAGCATATGGTGAAACTGAGATTTTAAAAAGTACTCGAAATTGAAGTTCAGCAATAGCAATAAATCAATCATGACCAAACTTGGGGTGTTTATGTTTTCAAGACTGTTCTTTTGCATAGCTATGATTGTTCACAAAACGAGGATAAGGTGGACAGACTGAAACAGATCCTCAGTGTTAAACTTCCGCTTCCCGATACATCAAGCGAATTCAAGTACGAAAATTTGAGGCAGGACCACCTCATTTACCTTCAAGCGCCATTCAAGGTAATTAGGAACCAAGTGTTGCAAAAATTCATTGAATCTTATTTGTAGGAAGTTAATTTGATGAGTTTCTGAGGAAGTACGCCTCTGCGAAAAGAGTGCAAGGCGACGTTACCAGTAAATTTATCGATTTTTTGCGAACTCTGTTCAAAGGGCTGCGTATTTAACTCTGTAACAAAATGAGCACCACGTAACTTACACTTAGATCTGCGCGACCCTTCTGATATTTGGAAGTACGCGTATCGTGTTTTAAAAGTGGCTCGAAGGGCGGATATAAACAATCTACCCGACTCCATTGTTGATGCACTTACAGCTAAAGGTAATTCACAGCTGTGATTGGGCTACAAAATTTAGAGTTCATTTTGGATGCTTTGAATTTAAGTCACAACGAACTCTACGGATCGAGGCTGCACCTGCTAAAGAATTTACAGAACAGGTGCTGTCTATATCTACCATAAGCATTTTAGGCGCTGAAATTTTTAGTTTTTGGCTGTCGCTAGCTGAAAACGAGCAGGGCCGTGAAAAAACCTTTGATTCACTGCTGAAAAAATAGTCGAAATGGAGCGTAGCGCAAAAACATGCATTGCTGAAGCGCTGTAAGTCCAACACTTCTACATTACGCCATCGTAAAACCCCAATTTCTATTTTTAACGAGGATGTGCGCTACTATCGCTTGCACAATGGTCGTCTTGTTCTACCGAAGGTATGTTAGAATCCGCTTTCTCCCATTTCTATTTTTATATGTATATTCTTTTAGAAATCGAAGGGTGCCCTTGTTGGACTTGGACGCACCGACAACTCAGACAATCCACAGGCTCTCAGCCGGCAGCCACAAAGCCACCGCGCTTTGGTGGGTTTTCGCAGTGCTTTGTGGCTGCCGGCTTAAAGCCTGTGATTGTCTGAGAAGGAGGCAATGGGCACGGACGCTTGGAATGAAAACTTAGGCAGTCAGCCGTGAAACAAAATTTTGTTCGTTTTGTCAACAGACACTCAACATGTGCATATGTATTCAGTTATTCAATGAAGTAATTATTTTGAATGCGAAACAAACATTTTACCCTTGATAAAAATATAGACTCTTCTTTACGGCAACCGCATGAAAAGTGGTCATTAGCTGAGATTCCGACAGATTACGCAAGAAGTTCCCGGGAACTTCAACTATAGAAGTTCCCGTGAACTACAGTCTTTTGAAAACTTCCCGCGAACATTGGATGAGGAAGTTCCGGCAAACTACAATCTTTTAAGAAGTTCCCGAGAGCTTTAGAGCTGAAGTTTCGGAACTTACAATGGAGTTCCCCAGGTGACCCGCCGGAGCTTTCCTTAATGTTCGCCGGAACTTCCCGGCGTTTGTCTGAGTATGCAAATGAAAAACACAGCGAAAATATTGGATCACCGTAAAATGCTAACAAGGGAATGGTCAGAAACCGAAGTGGCCAATTCAAGCAGGCTGCATATCATTCGATGCAGCATAGAATGCTGATTTCAGATCTGTCTTCCTTATCTGCAGAGCATTTTTGTAGGCGAAGTTATAAGCCGTTAAATGTCATCATTTTGCTAAGAAATTGTGCGTGTAAAGGTCAAACTTGGCCGTACAAAGCCATTCTCGGCTCAGTGTTGGACCAAAACGTGTAACTAGGTCAGTTTATATTGCTCGTACCTAAAGGTGAGCTAAAAGAGCAGTGATCTGCCTAATTTCGCAGGTTTTGTGGACGATTTTTCCGCAATAAAGCTGCTCATAACTTCGCCCACAAAGGCGCTCTGCAGATACGGAAGACACATTTGAAATCAGCATTCTATGCTGCATCGATTGGTATGCAGCTTGTATGGATTGGCCACTTCGACTTCTGACCATTCCCTTGTAAGTCTGCGCTACTAAGTGAATCGCGAGGGAAGGCGGCAAGAACAAGTATATTTGATAGCCTAATCCTCGTGACTTTCACAAAAGTGATTTAAGCCTGATTGGTCTTCTCTAGTCTGAGATATTGAGGGCGAAAAATGGAACAAACGAAACTTTGGCTTGCTCTTAATTCCAGGTTCGGAGATTAGTTAAAGTGGGAATCCTAGTGTGAGCAAAGAATTAATAGTACTTTGTATCGAGTGCAAAAAGAAATACTTTACTCACCTTTGAAACAAAGTTACAGATGTTCGAAAATGACCACCTTACTTGAGTTTCCCAGTATTTGGAAACCTCACAATTCGCTGAAACTTGACCCACAGTGGTTATTTGACATGCTAATCACGAAGGCGATGCGCTTATGCTTTTAGAATTTTTTGTTATGCTTACTGTACGTATACGACGGTAGGCCAAAACATCAGTGCTAGTATCTTGCAAAATGGGCCTATCAGACATTGTTGACTGACATCATTTCGCTAACATCACTATCACCTCGATAACGACCCCCCCCCCCTCCTCCTCTCCCTGACTCCTCTACGACTCCAGGTGTGGCGTGCCACACCCTACGCTTGACCCTGGATGACACTCTTGCCTGTCCGGGCTCTCGTTGAAAATGGCCCGAACAAGTGAGAGAGCGGTACATATCAAGTGCACGATTGATATATACCGCACCAGATGTAGACGCAAATCTCTTGCGATGATCATAAAGGACTCGACGCATGGCAATGGAAGCCACGGTCACCAACAAATTGTTGGCTACATCAAACACTTACCCAAGTCATGGTACTCTTGGAATGGGTTTCGTATACGCATGTCGTGGTGAGAACATCTCCCTGAACATATGAGTGTGAAAAATCAAACAAGTTAGAGTACAGTTATTACCGGTAGTACATGTATGTACGGTCGAATGAAAACAATGTGCTGCCAGTGAGGGCTGTAGTGATTATCGCGATTGACTTCACCAATTTTAACGCCATGTCTATAATGACTTGTGAAGATCTTCCGACCGTAGAGATGTGCGTGAAGTTGTGAGCCAAAAACATGTATTCCCGAAGGTGGTAGCTGAAATGGTGGGAATAAAAACGTGTCTTCGATAACTCTTGCTTTCAAATTTTCCACTAGTTTGTTCGTTTTCGATATACAATTAAAAGTTACTTAGGTGTCCGTAACATGCACCTGTTGTGAATGAGTCAACCGCAATCTGCTAGCTTTGGTATGATGAATACCAAAAGTTTGTGGTTCGTCAACGTTGCGCCAAAAGGCAAACGTAGTTTAGTGGTTCATCGTTCTATATAAACAACATTGTGCAGGTAGTCCATGTGATGTCGTATGGGGGTGCTTGCCCTTTGTTGAGGACGATTCAATGGGCCTCTCTTTGACTCGATATGAAACTTTCCTCATACGTACTAAAAATTCCACTTCAAATCAACATAAAGCTAAGGAAGTAAAAGCATAGTTAGATGCAGTCTTATGCACTTTTCGTTGTATTGGATGTGCTTCAGCAACATCACACACCTGAATAGGAAAATCCAATTGAATAGGTTCAGTCTATTGGGTGAAACATGAAGTGTGCGTCAAAACTCCCTATGATAAGACTGATGGGATGTAGCACAACCCCACAAACAAGTGCGGCTGCCATACCTTTTTTGGGGTTGTGCAACATTCCTACAAACTTAAAGGCAGTGTCCAAAAAACTAAGTGTGTGAGCTTTGTATGGCTATAAAAGAAGGGCTCATAAGTAAGTGATGCCCAAGTCTCGCTACAAAACCTGAATTACGAAAGTAGAAATCGGTTTAGAAGTTAGCGACCTGTCTGTTCAGCCCCAAACATGAAATGTTTGAAGGTGATGCGTCCAAAATGGAGCTAAGATTGCGAGATTGGAGATTGCTTTCCTATCATTGAAAAAAAGCGGTTCCCACAATTCTGACGTATTCGAGGCGCGCAGCTACTTACTTTGGCTCACGTCGCCCTGGGTCATGCTTGTGTCCGCGGAGGGCGGCAAGCTCCTCGGACTTGCATTCTTTTTCCATTTCAACTATAGTATATAGATTCTTTCTTGCGTGTCAACTATAGTTTATTTTTTTCTTTTTTTCATTGTCATAGAAGATCATTTTTCGTAGTATTTCTCGACTTTTGTCTAGTATTTGCACTCAGAACTGTCAAAATGGTCATTGACGTGGATGTTATCAGTCGAACTACGACGAAATAGCTGTAAATAGTTATTTTTGCATAGTTTGCGCTGCACAACTGCTTTTTTGAGTTTGTCTCTTTAAAACTGTCATGCTTTCGTGGACCGACGCTTTCTTGCCGCTGTATTTGTTTTCATTGATGGCCTGCCAAGCCTACAGATTTCAAAGTGATCGGAGAATGGTGCATAAGCATAGTCGTTTTGGCTAGAATATTGTGGATACTCTTTTTGGGCTGGAGGACTATATGTCGCCGAAAAGGGGCGCTCTTCGCGGTCATTTGCGACAAATACGCATCTTTGTATATGCGCGGACATGCGTTCCTGCAGGAAATCCGCGCGGGACTCTTCTAAATTCGGCGACATATAGTCCTCCACCCCTCTTTTTGCACAACAAAAGCATGGCGGCTACGCTGTGCACTGCTCTTGCGTTTCCAGTTTTTTCAGTGCTTAGCGAATCAGACTCCACGCAGTGTGCATAGTATCGCACACAGAGGTGCGATAGGTAGAGCCGCCCCCCCCCCCAAAAAACTGAAGGTGGTTCCAGCTACCACTGGCCGGCCAAAAGTGAAGGTGGTAGTGCCGGACACTCATCTCCCAAAAACGTCGACCGGGGGGGGGGGGAAGGTGACTTCGGTTCCCTTTCAAGGGCCACAAATACGATGAGTATAGCGGCATAAAAATAAAAAAAAATAAATACCTGTTAATCAAATGGTCTATTTGTAAGTAAAACCCAGTAAACTTTGAGTATATTATTGAATAAATTTTGTTATAACGTACTGCGAAGAAAGTAGGTCGATCCAGGCAGTAACCACCGAGAACCAGAATTTCGAATAATAAAATAACGTAAAATCATGCGAAATTTCCACTGTTATAAATCTGGTGGTTGAAGATGTCAGCAATTGCGGCTTTGTAGGTTTGAAGCGCAAGTGCTGTTCTACCAGAATTAGGTCGATTTCAAAAAATCAAGCGATTTTAGGTCACTTAGTGACAGCTGACGTTTAGACTTCTATAAATCTGGAATGTGAAGATGTGCAATATTGCGACTTTAGAATTTTTGTAGAGTAGGAATTTCTCTATTGGACTATGTCTTAGCCGTACCGATCCATTAAGATACCGCCGGGATTCAGGCTCTTAAAGAAACAGGTAAAATAAGCGTTTTAAATCTCAACAGCTCATAACTTTTCAGAATTGCATATATCATGCTGCGACTTCATAGGTTGGATTTTCCTCTTCAAGAGCTTTCAAAAGATATATAATATTTGGGATGGGGGGGGGGGGTTGCGGCTCTAATCCAGACTTTTCACCCCAAAGTCTCCACCTCGCCCATGTTAATGTATTGGCTGGAGACCGCCGGTGGAGACTTTGGGGTGAAAAGTCTCCACCACCGGACATATTCCGTGAGAAGCGCGAAACCCTCACATATTATATATCATCTGAAAGCTCTTGAAGAGGAGAATCCAATCTATGAAGTTGCAACATGATGCATGCAAATCTGAAGAAGTTATGAGCTGTTGAAGTCCAAAAAGCGGTTTTCTTACCTGTTTTTTAAAGCCTGAATCTCGGCGGTATCTCAAAGGATTGGTGCGGCTAAAACATATTCCGATAGAGAAATTCTTACTCTACAAAACCTATGAAGTCGCAACATGGCGTATCTTTACATTCCAGATTTATAGGAATCTAAACGTTAGCTGTCACTAAGTAACATAAAATTGCTTATCGCTCTCGGCAGCCACTGCTCAAATCGACCTAATTCTTTCACTTTCTGATAGAACAACACTTGCCCTTCAAAATCCATGAAGTAGCAATTACTGACATTTTCAACCACCAGATTTATAACAGTGGAAATTTCGCCCGATTTTCGCTATTTTATCATTCGAAATTCTGGTTCTTGGCGGTTACTGCCTAGACGGACCTACTACATAGATATATGTTCTCAATGCTTTCTTTTGCGTTCCTTTTGCTTATTTTCCTTCTTTTAAGCTCCAGCAAAAAATTTTTTTCAAACCCAAAAGTGAAGCTGGTCACCCCGTACCAGCTCAAAAGTGAAGGTAGGCGGAGACTCGGCTCCGACTATTGCACCTCTGATCGCACACTATCTGCAATGATGGCCGCGAATCGCGGTATCTAGCAGCACATCAGCTATTGGTCAACTGAACGAGGGATTTTATTCAGGCTATGGAGGCTGCTGTTAGGCTGGATTGATAAATACTAATCTCTACGTTTTTGCTATATTGAGTTCAGGTTGTAAATATGGTACTTCTAGCGAATTCAGCTTGGATACTAGTTTTCAAAACGATCATAGTTAGTTGGCATAGTTTTTTATATTATAGTTTCAAACTAGAGAAGAACATGTAAGTGAGTTCAAGAATGAACTCTTCAAAGTATCATTACACCTCGTGTTACATTCAAAACTTGCTTATAACTACTTTCTTCTTGTTAATTCATTAATGTAGCTGATAGTTCACTATTCGAGCCACCTAGCTTTGATACAACGGGATTGGTGGCTGGAAGGCGACCGCTTGCGCCCGTGACGCAGTCTACATCTCTCTCGCGAGCTTACTTTCTTATAATCGTCTAGCCTTGATCAGGGCTTAAAACTCCGCCTTTCAGCCGGCCGCCAATTCCGTTGAATCAAACGTACATCATGGTTTGTATGCTTCTTACATCTACATTTGAGATGACTTTGCACCGATGAACTCCTACACGCATCCATATGCAATATCAGTGTTCATATCAGTGTTAGTAGGTTCCGTTTAAAGAAAACGAGATGTTTGTGAATAAACAGTAAACAGCCCATTATTAGAAGAAAGGAGAAGATGAACTATAGTTGAGATGCAAAAAAGAATCCAAGTCCGAGGAGCTTGCCGCGCTCCGCGGACATAAGCATGACCGAGGGTGAAGTAAGCCAAAGTAAATAGCTGTGCGCCTCGAATACGTCAACAATTCTATCTACTCAGATAATCGCCAGGGGCAAGCGGCGATGCGATTTATGGGCAGGCGGGCACCGGAAAAATATTTCGTTGATTTTTTGCGGCCCGCTTGCAGAAATTTGGAAGAAAGTTGGCGAAATTAAAGACGAAAGCTTGAAGAACAATCGCGGTTTCTTTATGGATTAGCTGCGGCGCAGTGGCCGCATTGTCGCGGACTTTCCGCGAGAATATGCAAAAATTTCGAGGGCCGCACGGTCCTTTGTGGAGGACCGCTCAACCCTCAGGTACTTTCCGCTGAGAGAAAGTACCTCAAACTTGAGTAACTAAACCAACGCTGACACCTCTGCCACACAGAGTCTTACCTGCGCTCGACGTACGCCCGAAAATGCCTAAAAAGAGTCCGAGCGCTTGCTGAAAATTTGGCCAGCGCTCGCTGAAAGAAATTATTTGCGGAGCGCTTGCAGGAAATTTTGTATTGCTGCCCGCTGGCAGAAGACGAAAGTACCGCCCGCTGAAGGTTTGGCCACGCCCCAAAATTCTGCTGACCGCCTGCAGAAAAGCGCGGGTTTGCGGACCGCTTGCCCCCGGCGATTATCTGAGTAGATGGAAAACAGTTTAGGACTCGTACTTCAGACCACCTAAGCCAACAGGCGGGACGGACAGGTATATATAGCTATCTCTGTATTTTTCTTCTACTTTTTCTCTCCTACTCCCGCACCGAAACTTCAACCACTTTTGCGGGGGTCTCGCTACTGTACCGAAAAATCTGTCTACCATAATTTCAGGTGCCTCCAACTTCAAAGCGCTCAAACATCGTTGTTCCTTGCAACCGTAACGCTTAACTTTCCTCTCAAAAGTTTTTATGCAGAACGCTCTTGCGCAAAGGAAGAGGTAACCAGGGTTAAGCGTGAGGTGACGCCATGGGAGAGGAGGGGGGGGGGTCG